TTAACTTGATGTTAAAAAAGCATTCTTTGATTTTTCAAGAATTCCAAATTCGATTCAAAATGCTTCTTTTCCACATAAATCTGAACAAAAGCTACGAAGCTCTGCCAGTTTTTTATTCTAAATAATGATAATTTAAGGAAAGGTATTTAAATCTGTTTCAGGCGGAAAACGACAGCTAATTCCGTTTTTTAATCCAATAAAGGTGTAGAGCTAGGGTTCCGTTGTGAATGAGGCATGTATCGATCTCTTAAAAGTATGTCGGCAGTCCCTTTAAGAATAATTAAATCCAACAGTTTTAGATAAAGAATTCATAAAAGTTAATAAGAATTTTTAGAAATAGTTATTTCCGAACCCTCCCCCTGTTTTATGCTGAAATTATATATTCTGGGGAGGGTCCCTATTCGTACTTTTGTTCTATTGTTTATTAACTATCAGTATCTTACTTTCCTATTACATGGAAACAACAACATCATAGAATATCTTTATAACTTGATTTTTACGTAATGCATTAGAGGTGCGCCGCACCACTTAATAAGAGGATTTAGACATCCTTGTGATCCTTCTATTATAAAGAATCAATAAAAATGAATCTTTGCCACATACTCGGATTTTCCAATCCCTATATATATCTGTGAAACCCACTGTCGTAAATCTTAGCTGTTTCAAGCTAAAAATTATTTTAGATCAAACAACGATCAAAGTTCCAAACCATCGAGTTGCAAAGGTATAGAGAGTAGAAAATTTGAGTTTGTGGCAAAGACTCGATTTCATTTGACATTTTTAGATTCTACATTTTGCCTTATATACTTACCACAAAATAATAATACTTACCACAAAAAGTGATGCTTTTTAATGTTTCCTATTTTACATAAGCCAAAATAGTTTGATAATTGTGTATTCCTACATTTTCAGAATTGTTTATCCGCCATGTTGAAGGGACTGGCGTCATAAGTTTAGGTGACCCTTCAATTAAAAAATGGCCTTTTCTGGCTTCAAAAATGTAAAATTCTGATAGTTTCTTCATAATTTCTGAAGCAAGATATGCGCAAGTCACTTCGTCAACGAAACCAGTAACCCCAAATGAAAACAAAGAGTTTTTTGAAACAAAAACATGGATATCTAGATCAATCTTGATCAGACAAAGTTTTTAAGGATACCGTTGTGAATCGCATAATACCAATCTATTAATGAAGGGTCATTTGAAATATCATTTACAGTCCCTTTAACAATCAATTTTGTTTTTTAAATAATTCCTGAAAAGAAATAAATTGAAAAAATTTAATTGAAAACATGAAGCATGACCCGGGTCCAACCAGCTATGACTTATATGAGATATCAACAATGGCGGTAAAATTAAAGATGGCAGTTGGTCATCATTTATTTGGTTTGGATCAATCCTGACACATGGTTAATATATTGCAAGGAGAAATCCAGTTCAAATCTCTGATAACTAGGTTTTTAGAATCCTTTGCGTTCTTTTTTTATTAAAAAGTTTAGCTATTCATCCCGCCATTCTTTCTTCCTACTTTATAAACAAGAAATGTCTTGAATTTAGATGGATTAATTGTCTATCTAATCTATCTAATCTATCTAATCTATCTAACCTATCTAATGCCTAGGTTTGAATCATCCTATGCAAGATCTACCTAAAGCCAAATTAAGGTAAGTTTAGAGTAAATATCAATTTTTTTGAAATGTCAAAATAATGAATTTTATTTCAGTAAAAGTGGTTCCTTGGGTTCCCTGGGGTTCCTTGAATCTGGTGAATCCAGCTGTTCATGTTCCAACCATTCAGACAGGTAGAATCAGATTTATGGAACGGATTCATATTTTAGGACTTTTGTCAATGCTTAATAAATCCTTTCATGGTCAAATTAAAGTAAATTTCACGTTTGAATAAAATATCCAGGTTTTAATCGCACCTCCACTTTCTAAAGAACTTTTGAGAATAATAAGAAAAGTTTTGAGTTTCTAATATGCAATCAAAAACAATGTTTTCTCATACTTGGACATAAAATTAAACCTAGGAGTTTCGATGTCACAATTCACAATATTTTTTTATTCATGATTTTATTACATAGTTTACTCATAGCTTAATTATTATTTTTACTTTCTTAATCTCAAGGTACTAAATCTAATGCAAGGAAAGTTGTTTCATAGGTGTACGCATTTTTTGTACTGCAGTGTACTGTCTTTGGGCGGAAAAGTAAACACAAAGCAGATGTCACATCCTGACATGGAATCCATTTTTACAAAAATAATCTATGACATTTTCTGGTCTTAGGAAACTATTATGTGAATTTTCAAAATTATCAAAATTAAATGCTTTTAACCTCCTCGGATACTGAACGAACACTGATGCATCTATTCTTGTTTACAAATTCCGCCCATGCAGAGAGAACTGGTTTCAATATGTAAATGTTTTTTTTCTATCCTAATTTACCTAGCATGCAATTATCAACATCATGGGAAACAATTCATAGGATAAAAAAATCAATGATCTTAAAAGAACTGTACGTAAGCATCGTTTTAAGTGACCCTTTATTCAAAGATGGTAATGCCTGATTCACAACTGCACCCTTGATAATCTGGATGATTTTAGGTCTAAAGTGTTTTGATTTTAATAATTCCCTTATGTTTTCCTGCAGTAGAAATGCTTAAATCACTTTTGTAGAGAAACCACAATTTAAAATAATCAGTTTTAATAAAACTTGGTTGGTAGAGTTGGTATCTAATTTCAACTTGACCAGAAAAAGTTTTAATGGTATCAATGTGAATCGGGCTTTGCAAGGGCGTCACTTGAAACTATGATTCTAGGAATGTTTCACTGGATACTGGAAGCAAGCTATCTGATGCAGGGAGAAGACTTCCAGAACATCTTCCTCGCCCTCATTCAGAGCCTCCAAACCACCGAGGGGGGCCTCCAAGTCGGGCCCCCCGAGGTGCATCTAATCCTCCAGGAGGAGAGGTGAAACCTAAGAAGATCAAGGTTGAGTATCTAGGTTCTACTCCTGTGGATCAAGGTTCTACAGATCTAGGAAGTTTACAGGTTGGAACACTTATCTCTTTTTGATTTTTTAATGATTAAAATAGAAGAGAAGAAGTGAACATAAACACATTGATAAAACCAAATATTCACAAAATTTTATTCACTATACAATGTGAAAAATATTTATAAATTATGTTTTCAGGTTCCTATGAAAAATCTTTATCTGAAGTACATTGATATGAAGAATATGGGTCAACAGATGCTGCCGGGTACACTTGATGTATCCGATACAGGTAGAAGGTTTAACTTGATGTATCTGATACAGGTAGAAGGTTTACCTTGATGTATCCGATAAAGGTAGAAGGTTTAACTTGATTTATCTGATACAGGTAGAAGGTTTAACTTGATGTATCTGACACAGGTAGAAGGTTTAACTTGATGTATCTGATACAGGTAGCAGGTTTAACTTGAAGTACAGGGTGTCCAAATAAACATGGGAATTCAGCGACGATTTTGATATCGTCTTTGAACATGATATTTTGATTTAGTGTGGTTATGCATACTAGGAAAACTATAATTCGTCTGCTAGAGTTCAGAATTTGTTTGTTTATGTTTTTATTGCATACTGTACTGCTTGACTTTTTTCTTTGTTTAGGACTAAAAGTGAATTATATCCGTGAACTTCACAAGGGTGTTCAAGAGATATTTAATCCATTCCCAACTATAGCTGTCTGGGCAGCAGTTAAATTTGTACATAAGAAGGAACAGGATAGGTAACTTTATTCAAAATAAAAATTATTTTTTTTTGCAGAAGTCCCAAGGTTTATTGCAACTTATAAGTTTAAAATGTTATGCGCTAAATGGTTGTTTACAGTACAATATGGAAAGTTATTTCTCTGAAAAAAGATATGTGATTAATACGAAAATAAAATAGTTTTGAATTATTATTATTGTTAAACTGTATTTCTGCGTCCAGAATTTCAAATGCCTCATTTGTATACTTGTTTAATGATTTCCTTCTCTAATAGGAAGTTGAGCCCGTTATACTTCCTTAGCTGGGAACTTTAGAATATTGGATATCAGGATTAATGCTTGATCCACTCTTTTTCTTAATCTCCAGATTAAATATTGCTTGTCAACCTCATGAATTTAATCTCCAGATTAATTAACAGATCAGGATTAAGGATATCACATTCTAAAGTTAATGTGTTTCTATGTTTCCTGGATCGTTTCCATCATCAGAGTTCTTTACTTATTAAGTTGTCGGAAAACGATCAGAGCTGGGAACTTTAGAATGGATAACCTTTAATCCCAACTACTTAATCCGAATATCCACTGTGGAAACTTTTAATTTTAGTCCTTAATCCACTTTATTCTCTCTCTTTGGATATACGTACATTATTTTCTCCAATGAGAGTGCAGGAATATAGTTTGTAAATTGTACTGACCAATGCCAGCCTTGAAAATAAATTCTATCCCATGAGATAAATCCGCAATTTCTAACAAGTAAAGAATTTGTTGTCGGCCATTTTGTAAATTAATCGGTGAAGAAAGATATTTAATAACACGTTTGAGATTCTTTTGTAACCCATTTTTAACTAATGTATTAATAAATAAATGGGTGGGAAATTAAGTGAAGGCCCTTCCAGTCAAGAAAACGAACCAATCTGGCGTTCGTAGAATCCAATTTGTTGATCTAAATATTTAATCTCAATACTAACATGATCTCAAAATTATGTTAGTCTCGAGATTAGCAAAAACAGAGGATTAAGCATTAATCTCGATATACACCATTCTAAAGTTCCTTTAGTTACCTTAGAAACGTACTTTTCCTTCCTTAATTTTTTATGAATGATACATGTTCTAAAGCAATGTAAATGCGTCAGGACAGAAATATAACTTGGAAGTTTGGGCTCAATTTCCTATTAAGAGAGAAGTAATTAATTAATTATTATAATTATTATTATTATTATANCTATATGAAAGATTGAAAAAGATTGTCCTCGCTGTTTTCAGAGCTTGCTGCAATACTTGAGCCTGGGAGGTGCTAAGTCTGTCTTATAATTTTGTCTTATACGCAATTATTTCAAACTGTGGAGAAATAAAATTGAGTGGTTACACTACAGTCATTTCTTATTATTTTCAAATTCGTTACATTGGTTTTAGAATCTTGTATATTTCATCATATTTCTTCATTATTTTATTTTGTAATAACTTTTTTCTTGCAGCGTCAGCACCCTCACATCCTGCCCTGTTTTCAGCTGTTATGCGTAAACCTGGTATTCCAAGGTAAAACAAAATAGATTTTTTGTACAATCATGCTTTTTAATAATTTATACGACAAATAATTGTTATCTTTTTAGTACACACATAGGCCCCTCCCCTCGTCCCTTTTTGAGAAGAAACAATTTTCTTTCCTCCCGAATTTTCCCCTCTTTTTGCAAATTTTTAAGTTCCGCCTTACTTAACTGTTCTCCAAAACTATTCAAATACCTCCAACATATTTAAGATTTCTCCTAAACCATAATTTTTAAACCCAGTTCATTAAATACGTGATATATAATTTAATTTCAATTGTCTAATTTAACCATAACGCGAGCTTGCCGCGCCATAAGGTATATTTAATGGTATTTTGTATACAGTTGGAATACTAGGTTAATTATTATTTAATAGCCAGTAGTCTAGACCAATGCGTACGTATGCGTAAATGTAACTACAAATGCGTAAAACAAATCAATTAGAATACATCCAATTTGAATAAAAGATAGCTAATTAGAGATATTTCGACCAATGCTTACAAATGCGTATGTGAAAATGTGTACGGTAAACCTGCGTATATGGGAGCAAAAACAAACAAACTATCTAATTAAAATTCTAACAATTGCACAGTTTAAAATTTACCAACGCGTACAACTCTGCGTATTTATAAGTACAAATGCGCAAAACTGCGTCTATTTTTTAAAACGACAAACAAAAAAATAAACGGAGAGTAAACTATCTAAGTATATAGAATACAAGACTGCTTATTTAAGATATTAACAACTACGTATTAAGATGCGTAAACTAGACTACAAATGCGTAAACCTCATAGATAAAGATAGATTGCGCATAAGACGACTTTTTTCATCTTGAAAGATATAAATGTACTGAGATGTTTTAAAGATATTCCTA